TCCTGTCACCAACGTTTCTATTTCAGGGCCCACATGGAGAGTCTGAAAGGTGAGAAGCTTTAATGATCTGGCAGATCATCATATTGCTGAAGGTAATTCTTACACTGCTGACCTCATCCTCACCTAGATCTTGCTCTGCTTCCTTGTGTTGCACTGACCCAGGGGGACTAACAGCAGGTGTCCACTCAAGTGCCAGCTTCTGATGGAGAGGGTTGGATTTTTGCTGCATTTTCTGGTGATTAATGCATCAAATTCAGTTTGTCAAGCTCTGTCCAGTTTTTGCATTCACATATAAAAGTCTACATCTCACAACAACAATATGTATTAACTCACAAACACCATTATGAAGTATAAACTAGTATAATAATATTTTCCTATATGTGCAGCTCTTTAAACCTGGGTTTATAAATTCCCTGTCTACTAAAAGACCTTAATGTGTGTGACTCTAAACCCTTTGTAGTCGTTAATAAGACAAATATTTAAGATGACAATAAAACCTTACAGATAAAAACTATTTAAATATAGTTTCACATTCTTCTTTTTATATTGAGATTTAAATGGAGTATCTTCAGTCCCAAAATGCCAAATTTGAAAAAAGGCTAAATACCTTTTGAGTGCACTGTACCCGTGACAAATATTTTAATGCATTTTATAAAAATCAAATTAAGGTAAAAACCTTGAGTTGTTTGTGGTAATAAATCGTCCATGCAATGCGCACATGCGGTGCGCCCTGTCTCCCCCTTGTCTGAAAAACGTTTTAGTAGTGATTCAGTGACTTTTAAAACAGAAAGAGAAGCAAAGCAGTGGCTTCTCTTTAGTTTTTTCTACATTTGAATTGCCGTGTTGGCGCGTCAGTTCTGACTCACCGTTGACCTCAAGGACCTGTGTGTTGCTCCGTGCGTCAGAGGACCTCGCTGTTCCTCCGGGAAAGTGCGTGTTCAACTGTGGCAAGAGGTAAATGCCTTGAAATGATTCTTGGTGGCATTAATTGGCAGTTATTTAAGAATCGAAGAATCCTAAAATTATAATACGACCAGGCAGAAATAACATTAAGCTGTCAGTGGTGAGGTTCTGGATAAAACCCCTACTTAGGAAGTATTAACAGTACAGTCCTGGGTTGGCCTCACAGTTGGAGCAGGCAACGTGGTCGAGGATCAGTGCAGGACTGGAGTGAAGGCATGCTGCTGATCCAGGCTGTGCATAGAGAGAGAGAGAGAGAGAGAGAGACAGCGAGAAGTGTGCGTTCAGCTCCATTAAAGACTAACTTAAAATTCTGGGGTTACAAGGAGCATGCGCTGAATTTCTAGCAGATTTGTGGAGGCTAGGGTAACCCTGAACTGTGATAAGTGTGTGCAGTTGGTCATACCACGTTGAGTGTGTTCTGAACTTGATTAGACAGTTTGCTCCTGGCATAAATGAGGCTGGTTGAGGCCCACGGCAGCGCAGACGCACTGCTCTGGCGCAGTGTCTAACTCGGTTCACTGGGTCCAAGGAAACCAGCAGGTTCAGACTGTTCTTTCACATCTTCTGGTTCCAGAGTAGGGATCATCCTTCCAGTCAAGACACAAGCGCAGACAACAGTCAATGAGCATTCGCGGTATCAAAGACACAGCCTTGTCCTGCAGCTTGAAATACCAGGATGCATTTTTAAGGATATAAACTGTAAAACATAACAAGCTTTGCAGACAATTTGCCTTTCAAATTACATGCAAATTACAATATCTCATTAGACCGCATTATAGACAGTAATCTCATTCAGGTATTCGGCGTGCCAATCCATTTAATTGATTTAGGAGCCATCCCTTTCAAGGACACATGATTGTAATGTGAACGAGAAGACGTACGATCTGCCCTATACTATCAATCAACATCTGTTGACAGATAAGGCTTCAGAGTTCCTCTCTAGTGGTCTGCTTGGAGTTGGTGCTCTAACATGCAGTAATGTTTGAGCCAGTGCAGCAGCAAAAGGCTTTTTCCTGTACACAAGTCAAATATAGAGAGCAGATGCGACTTCCAGATAGATCCAGAGATGCACAAATAAACACAGTTTTAAGCTTCTGGCCTGCAAAAGTATGTATAAGTATATAATTATAGTAAATATAAATGTAGTATTTTTTAACCATTTCCTGGTTCCAGCTTCTCAAATGAGAGGATTTGTCATTTCTTTGATTTAATTTTAAGTGTAAAATGTTTGGTTTTTGAAAGGCTGCTCAGGCACCTGCATTTTCACACCTCACCTTGGACCTTTCAAAGTGTAACCGCTATTTTTTTAGTCATTATACTCAGTTTATTGAGACTCAGGGTTGTGTCAGGAAGGACATCCGGCGTAAAACACATGCCAAATGTCAACCCGCTGTGGCGACCCCTAAC